TCTTGGGGACTGGAGAGATGGCTCAGCGGTTAAGAGCATTGCCTGCTTTCCAAAGGTCCTGAGTTCAATTCCCGGCAACCACATGGTGGCTCACAACCATCTGTAACGAGGTCTGGTGCCCTCTTCTGGCCTGCAGACATACACACAGACAGAATATTGTATACATAATAAATAAATAAATAAATATTTTTTTAAAAAAAGAATTTCCAATCACCATTTCTTTTGTGTCTGACACTGGAGTTTTGGTTTTTTTCTTTGTTGTTTGTTTGTTTGCTTGTTTTCTTGATTATTTGTACTCTTTGAAGCTTTTTACCTTAACACTTCAGGAAATAGTCACCTCTCTCAGTCTTCATTGACAGGTTTCAAGGAAAATAAAAACCACAAACCCAAACCAAATAAGGAACACTATGGGGCATGAGCTGGTTCTATAGTCCTAGTCTCTTCAACCTTTGCTGGGAAAGGATCTGCTCACTTCACTTTTCACTGCTTTTGATTCTTTTGCTGTCTCTGTCCCACAGCCAAGCTTGGTGCTGAGAGCCTCTCCTGTGTTTTCAGAGTGCAGTGCTCCTGCATGCTCGGTTTCAAACCTTATCTGTAGCCAGCACAGGTTAATCGCTGAGATGTGCGTGTGCTGCTGAGGTCTGCATGTGCTGCTGAGGTCTGCATGTTTTCTGTCGGAGCTGGTACAGGCCATGCTCAAGAAGGTACAAGGAGCTGACCATGAAAGGGAGAGTAGGCAGCCCAGGGGAGGCATCAGCTGGTCATGGCCATACTCAGGTGCGTCACATTGCTGGGTCCACAAGTGTGACTCTTAGTGAAGATTTTAGGCTGGTTATCAGGGCCCATGGCTGGCGATGAAGAACCACAGGTGAGATGGAGGACACTCCCTCCTCTTCTCCTTGTTCTTACCTGCTTCTGGTTGATTTCCATTGGCTTGTTCCAGAAGTTCTCTTGATGAGGTGACACAGAAGGGAGCTGTCGGAGCTAGAAACCTGTAGGACTGAGGCGACCGAGCACCCACATGATTCTCAGTTTTCCCAGGGGGAGAAAATACAAACCAATCTAGCCTCTCCTTGTAGCAAGCTCTGTTGACTATGGGAGAGGCAGGGGCAGCATGGGTAAAGTGAAGCTGGCCCTCTTATCCTTCCCACTGTGCTCACATCTGATTCTCTTCTTCCACGGGGAAGGTGGAGACACAGCCGCTGGGGCTTCCACAAAATATGTCTAAGTGTGGCTGCCAGAATGGTGTTTCTGTGGGAGATGACAGCGAAGGACCTAATAACAGTGCCGCCTTCCCGTATCGTTCTATCATTGCCTACTGGTTTGTTGGATCAACACAGATATGTCTGCAGTTAATAAAAATAAGTTAGTTTTGTGAGCAATGATATTCCATCTGTTCTTTTAACCTTCTCTACAAGGAATCTGAGATTTTGTGTGTTTTAATAGAGGTTTATAATGTATCTCAATACCCATAAGGCACACCAGCCTCATTCACCTTTGAACTTATTTCTCAAGACTGACAGACTGATATCATTTTCCTCTTAAATATATATTTACAATGTCTATTGAAAACCTCAAAACATCCTTTCTTGTATATACTGAAGTGCTTTTGAAAGTTTAGGCTTCTTCTGGTATTTTATTTGAATTTTTTTTAACTTAATGACAAAATTTAAGGCAAATTTGTATCTTTTATCATGCACAATCTCTTGTGTGAATGTAAATTATCCCTTTATTCACTCATACCATTTTTATACTTCCATAAAAGCCTTGTGCACTCTTTATTAGATTAATGTCTAAATATTTTTTATTAGCCAAGATTCTATCAAAGAGTAGTAATTCCATAGGAAATCTATGGACATGTGATTCACATATTTTTCAGCATCTTATTTATTTCAAAGAATTGGCTTACAGAATTTTCTGTATGAACTGGCTGAGAAAATCCAGTCTTCACTGTAGGTCATCAAAGAGAGGTGATGAGCAGCCCAAGTTCATGGGCTTTGAACTGAATCTCCTCCCTGCTGGAAGAGTTTCTATACATGCCTTTCATTACTCAATCTGACTAGCTGGGATAGGGCTGTCCAGGTGATAAAGAATAGCCCTCAGTGTTAGCCTCAGTTTACTGGGGACCTTGTGACGTTGTAAACTCTCATCAGTACCTAGATTGTGTTTAATCAGATGACTGTGCTCTCTTTCTGGGCCGAGCTGCAAAATCATTACAAAACAGCTGTGACTGCTAGCTAACTTGTATTCTGATTTTGTACCTTGAAATTGCTGATGTAGATGATGTGTATTGGTTTTTGTAAGATGATCTGGTATCTGAATGCTTTATTGAATTCTCATATTTGTTCTCACAATTGGTCTCTAGGCTCAGGTTAATGTTCTGTACTGATACTCAGCATCTGGAAAGCAGTCCCTTTGTTCATATGCTATTGGCATGTAGTCGTTAGCATCGAGACACAACAGTTTCTTTCCTCATGACACTGCCTGCCCCTGTGATGATGGGATTTGGATTCCTCACTCATTTTCTTAACATCCATAGGCGGATGCCTAAATGCTCACCAAAAACAGGATGCTTGTGTAATTGTGATTTATTCAACATTTAAAGACAGTTTCCTGCATTCTTAGTTTTTTTTGCTATTTCTTTGAAATCCTTAATGCTTTTTTGCTTTTGAACCTTATAAAATGTCTCTTTCGTGGTATCAAGAAGAGAAGTATAAATCCATTAGTATGTGAATTTCACATGGATTTCTTATATTAAACCTATTTGTTCTGTACTCTGATAAATATGCCAAGCTATATTTTATTCTATTTCAATGGTTAACATTTTTTATAATTTATGTCTATGCTCACAAGTGAAATTGATTTACAGTTTTCTTTCTTATCTGTATTTATTTTTGAAATTGAAGTTATCATAACTTTGTAGGATGTCTTAGGTTACCTTCTTCTTATTTTCAATTTTTTAAACTACTTTTATTAAGAGAATCTTATGGGTCCATTTTGAGCCAGTCTTGGGGCTTCCATAGAGTTGTCATGCGAGCTCTCCCTCACACTCCAATGCTTCCTCCCCAGGACACACAGGGCGGTTGCTCCAGTCCCTGTGCCTCACCAGCCTCTCCTTCCTGCTGCTGCACATCATTTTCCACATCACACTGGCCAGCCTGGAAGCTCAGCATCGCCTCGCCCCTGCTTACAACTGTGAGTACCAGCCTTGTGCGTCCCCTCAGTGTGCGTGCAATGAAGCTAGCTATCGTCACACCCCCAAGGAATCTGTGACATAGTTGCACTATGGAATTCATTGTAATTTTGGTCATTCTCTACTCTAGTGTAGAATAATATAGGTGAGTGTGGATGTATGTATGTCTATATATAAGATTTGCCATGGAAAATGAGGTCATGTGTCAATCAATGGATCTCCAACTTAGATATTGGGATCCTATATGATTGTAAACCATAGTCATTGGTCTTATTCTAAAATCGGGATTTGTGTAGATCTCTTGAAACTCAGCTGAAGGACAGGAACATCCAATATATGAAAAGATTACAGGAGCTTAATAATATTATATGATATTAGTAATTGTAACACAGTATAGCATTTGTTATGTCTATGGGAAATGGTGCAATGCATATCACCTTTGTTCAAACTGGGTTTTTTTCCAGTTGATATTTATGAGGAAGCAAATGTCTCACTCAGAGTGTAAACTTATGGTATGAGAAAGTCAGTATATTTACTCTTTGTTCAGCTGTTATCACCCCAAAGTAAATCATACTTCAGTTTCAGTAGAATTTGTATTTGTCTCTTGAAAAAAAAATAAGCATTTCAAGTAGATGGAATCCAATTCATGTGTTCTCAGTAAAAACTAAAGAGACTCTGAGATATTTGAAATAGACTCCAATAACAGTTTTGACTTGTCAGTTTTTCTTTGAGGAACCCGTTTGTGGTTTTGAAATTTCCTGAACTTTCATGAGCACAAGTATAAGGAGTAGGAAGTAAACACACTTTCCCTGTAAAATGAAAAGATCAGAATTCTTCATGTACCTGAGGACATTAAGTTAAATACAGTGTAGGATCCTGTGATGGCGTTTACAGTCATACATTATTCATTAGCCGTCTCTCTGCAACTTTGAGACATTTGCAGAGCTAAAGATTTATTAGGTTCAAAATTCCTTTAATAGCAATTCCTGCCCAAATTGTATTTCTATTTGAAATCTCTATTTTAAGATATGACTGATTGTCTTTAAACTAATATGTATGCACCATAAATCTACCCAACTTAAGTCTATAACTCAGAGGGATTGTTTTAACATATTCAAAAATGCAGGTAATTATTCAGAATGCTAGTTAAAAACATAGTCTTCATTCCTAAAGGCATCGCATACCTATGGAGGGGTACCCTCCAGTGTCCTTTTGCAAATAGTATCATGTTGTTGAGGGACACAGAAGACCCACCAGGTGCATCAGCTTAGATGAAACTCACTGTCTTTTTTGGACTCTGTCTGGGTGTTTCTGTATTTACCTGCAACAAGGCTGTCCCACAGTTCTACAAAGATACAAAATGCATCATGAAATTACAACACAACTTTCTCTTCTCTATATTTATAAATGTGTTTATTTTGTATATGTTCTCTCATGAAGTGGAGGTAGACAACTTATATGCATACAGACACACATACATACATACACACACACATACATTTGTTATTCCTTTGGCTCTTCCTTTCTAGGCAAGGATATGCCAAGTGAGACTGTAATGACATCGGTCGATGCCCCTATTCCTCAGTGCTTGGGCGAACAGACCTCCTTGCTGTTGTGAGAACCAGCATCTTTCCTCTCATCTTTCTGTGTTCCTTTCCCACCCATTCTTGGGGCTTATAGGTGACTCTTATATCACTTTCTCAATATTCGGCTTCTCAGTGTCAGGGTATTCCCATGTCCCTTCTAGAGGCATTTGTTATTAGTGTATAAGCCACACTGCAGAATAACCTGCCCATGAATCTAATGAGACCCTCCCTTCCCTTTCTTCCATGTTCCCAGATGGGACTCTCCTTGGCATGACTCAACAAATGGAAGTCATATAGCAAACTTCAGTTTCAAAGAACTGAATTCCAACGTGAAGCTTATTTGGATCCCCATCAACTTTCCATTTTGACGTTCCAGTGTTTTTTGATGAAGTAACCAATAGAAAGGGACTAGGTTAAAGACGGAGTTTTCAAAACTCGAGTTATTTCCTTCCAGTCATAGGTACCTTGAAGGTGAATTTATAGACATCATAAATTTCTTCTGAAAAATCATGCTGCTTCCTGGGCCAGTGCTGGCTCATCAGGTGCTGCAGGTTTGTGTTGATTCAGTTTCCTGTGTAGCATTAATATGAATACATTCTTGAAACGGGATAAAAGAGGAACACAGACTTCAGAGCTTTGCAGCTCGTTTAGTGTCCAGGGTCAGCACAGATGAAGCGAAAGGCGAGAGAATGTCTCACGATCAGATTACAGAAACTCCTGGAAATGGTGTGAGTCTGGGAGAAGACGGCACTGGCCCCTTCATTTAGAGTCGAGTTGGCTTTTCCTCGCGACGTGCTTTTTGCCTAGCAGATGGAGTGATGGCTTCACCATCAGCGCTGCAAGCACAAAGTCCTTGATTGAAGCATCCAAATTTTAAATGAAAAGACAAACGCTCTCTTGGTCAGCAGTGTTACACACCACAAGCACTTTCCGTGTCTTTAAAACATTAGTAAATGAGGAAAAAATGTCTCCAACAAGTGGTGCTCAACTCTCAGACCACCAAGTGCTCACTTGTGGATCTTAATTCTGTTTCTTAATGGCTCGTTTCTCTACTTTAAACTCATACCCTCACCCCATTATGGTAAAAGCTCCCTAGTTCTCTTACAAATCCAAGACACGTGTTTGGGGGACAACAGTAGCATTTATAAATATTGAACCCTTGAAAGCCCTGCTCCCCTTGAGTCCTGTGAATATTAACTGGAAGCAGTGAAGAGTTTTGTTTTTTTTTTTTAACCACCACTATTTAGATTTTTACTGGTTGGCAGATTTCTTAAAGGTGCCATTGTGCATAGCCGAAACATAATATTCTCTCTCTCTCTCTCTCTCTCTCTCTCTCTCTCTCTCTCTCTCTCT